CAACGCGGGGTCCAGCGTGATACGTGGCATTTGGTAGTCCCAAAATGACGAATGTGAGCAAGATGTTCTGAAAAGAGTGTGAGCAAACGAGAGTTGGCAGGGAAAATAGAAAAACGAAAGGCAAGCCCAGTCCTCAGAGGGGCTGTAATAGTGACGGTAAGGAAGAGAGAGAGATTGCTTACATAGACTATCACATGCCCTGTACAAAGACAGCACCCTAACATTCCACTCGTGCCTCGCTACATGCTAGGGCAAGATCCTCACAAGTTAAACAATCAATATACCCAACATTCCGGCGTGCAATACTACTGCACGAGGTTGTCGGCTAGTGGAATTCGTTTTCTCTGAGGTGTGTTGCTGTTCCAGCGACACACCTTTTGTGAATTGCTTTGGTGCTGGATTGCTGTTTACCGCGCCCCATTCGTTTGCATTTGGACGGACATACGAACATGCAACCACATCTCCCAACACTACCATACGTCGTCGTTCATCTAGCTAACTTGCTCCTTCTCCCGACTGTTCTAGTATGTCTATCCAATTTTTTCTTATTTGTCGTATTAGACACTTTTTGTTACGAGTGTTGTGGGTTGTTGTGCGACAGCTTTATAAAATAAAATAAAAGAACTGGGCTGCTTGAACGTTTCAACGAGTCAACTCATCATGTCCAGACAAGACAAAGTAACAACGGAAAGATTCACAAGGACTCTAAGGGAGATGGTGAAGAGACCAGAAAACAAACTTTGCGCTGACTGTAAGCGAAACGGTGCGTAAGCTTGCTTTCGCTGTAGCCATCCACTACTCACGTTCTTCAGATCCTCGGTGGGCTTCCTGGAATCTGTACGTGCGATGAGGGAATGAACCCATTCGCGGCTTATTCAGTGTTAGTGGCGTGTTTTTGTGCATCCGATGCTCGGGCATCCACCGTGGTATGGGGACGCATATTAGCAAGGTCAAATCTGTTGATCTGGATGTGTGGACCCCAGAGCAGATGGAGGTATGGTTCGTTCAAAACCTTCTTACACCATGCCTTCATATCGTCTTTCAGTCTATCCAGAAATGGGGGAACCATCGCGCAAATCTATATTGGGAAGCTCATCTCAAGTCAGGGCACACCCCTCCTGAGCAGTAAGGAACTTCATCCAGACCATGGTATCCTTGTTCATACTTTTCAGCAAAATGGAATCCTTCATTAGATCCAAGTACGAATCACGCCGATGGGCTCTAGACGGGCTCCCTCCGGTTGACCCATCCGTCTTGGAGAATGCTTCTTCGGCTGCAATACCAGATCCTTCTTCCTCACAAATACCAGAACAAACTCAACCCAAGAGTGTTACTTCTACTCGACCATCTCACGCTACGATTTCGAGTATCTCTCGTCAATCCAATGTTGCGATCAACCCTCCACCTCAACATCACCAGCTGCTTTCTGCTGGATACTCGAATAGACAACCGAATACCACATCCGCCGATTCATCCGTTCCTCAACCCGTTCACCACGAATCGACTCTGCAGACCAACATCCCACAAAATGACTTGTTTTCTCTTGATTTCCACGCTCCACCGCCTGTGAATAATGCACCCGTGCAGCAGGTCAAGAAGGATTTCAAGCAAGACATTCTATCCCTGTTTTCTAGCCCCCCGGGCGCAACTCAGCCTGCTACGGCTGGCTTTGGACACTATAATAATACGCCCGTTACTGCATCGTCCTCCCCTTGGGGTAGCATACAACCACAGCAGCCTAATGTCGTGGGAGCTTGGGGTGCTAGCTCAGCCTGGACAGGACCGAGTGCTCCGGATTTGCCGAATACCGTCTGGGCAAATTCTCCACAACATCAGCAAGCAAGTCTGTTGAATACAAGCAATGTATGGGATGGAATA